CTAATCACTGTATGTTGCAAGCAAGAAAAAATACTATTCAAAATCTTATGAAAGGTGGATATTGTACATGGCAGGTCAAAGTAATCGACGAAAAGGAGATGAAGCGACGAGTTTGAAAAACTATTCGAAGAAAGAGAAAGCGAGCGAGTGAAGAATAACAGGTGATTTTTTAGCAATGCGAATAATCCACAAGGCTATTTTAGCAAAATAAGAAATACTTTCATAAGCGATAATTTATTACACGATTTCAAAACTAACATAGCAGAAGTTTGAAGCTAAAAAATTTTGAACAAAATTACGAATTATCGTGCAAAGATCAAGCAGAATACAGCACCGACAACACTGAACAAAAAGCATAAAGCATTTCAAATAAAACAATGCAGATCGTTAACCTAAAACAATGTATGACTGGCCAAATAAGACAGGAAAAAAAAACAGATAACTAATGAAAAAAAGTAATAAAAACTCCCAGATAGCAAGCTATTTCAACATGGCCTAGGAAAGTTAATACACGAAGACGAAAAGACCCTTATTACAAATTACACACCTTTCTTCTGCTCTTTTGCCTGCTGCCTTCTATCCCCCCTCTCCCCTTTCGTCTTCCCGTAATTTTCATTAATAATACCCCACAACTGTTATACCGATGAGGTACAATCGTGGGTTTGAGAAAGAATTCGTGCGACTTAATGGGCCGAAACATCCCTCTTCGTTTATATTTTTCTCCCATCCTTTTATATATTAAACTTTTCCACGTAAATTATTTAATAATTTTCCTTTATAAATTAATTCTTTTCGTCCCACTACCCTTTTTACTTACTAACTAATTTTCCATAGACTTCAATTATATCTAGTAGATCTTCGATCATCTTTAAATATTATTGATAATTTGTAAGTTTCGACTGGGAACTGATAAGGGATATGCGGTCAAAAGCGCTATTTACAAGGAAACAACCTCAAAAAGCATAGCAAAAACATGTCGCCCTTAACTTATTCTTCATTTTTTCTCTTCTTTTCGTTATTATAGTCAAATAAAGTAGTTATATGGCGCCCTTTAAAAAATAAGGGCTAGGAAATAACAAGTTTAAAGGAAAAATGAA